CGCAACTCTTCACTGTTCATTTTCCTTTTGGGAGCGCTTCTCGCCTTTAACGCATTAAAACAATACCAGGAGCTGGGATTGGTGACAATAACGTTTTCCAACTACTTGTTGTGACAATGAACGTGGACTACAGGCCTGACTTTACTCAAGGTGGAGTGAACATGAGTTTTGCAGTCTTAGGATCACCGTCAATTATCAAGCGCTTTGTCAGCTAGCCACAACGTCTGGTGACAGAGAAGAGCAGGTAAAGTAGGTTTCCTTCTCCACTCCTCGCATTTCTTTACTCGGCGTCCATCACGATTTTCACAACAATACGTCGAAGAGGAGGGTGCTGTGAAAACAAAAGAACCGTCTGTAAGCAAAAGCACCGTTGTTTGCAGATTGGATGGTTTGACACAATGTGTCACCACCACCACCACCACCACCATCATCGTCGTCGACGTTGTCTTGTCAAAGGCGGATTGCCATCCACACAACCAAGTCAGTCTGTGCGAGGCTAGAGTATATCAGCTCCACCGACTGTATCACCGTCCTGTAAGTGGCACGAAGGAGGGGAAAGACGTGGACACCAACATTTGGATAAGTTTTGCAAATGCCAGCAAATCCACCACCGGTTCACGGTGGACGTGGAATCAGAAAGCAAAGCGATTGTGCCAATGAGTTGCACAGTCAACTCTGCCACTTAAGAGGTTGCATGAAGAGGGTGCAGATCTTCCACCTTTTCACCAATGTGCATTTGACTCGATAAATTTGCATGTCTTGAGTGTAAATGCGGAGGGCAGAGGCCAATCGCCTGGCCTGCGAGGAACTTCCAGTCCCAAACTCGCATTACTCTCAACAAAAATTTGCTTATTGCTACATGGACGTGTTCATCGACAAAACCGCTCGGCTCACAGACAACTTCTACAAGGCCTCGCCGGTGGAGGGGAGGGAAAAGGCAGGTAGGAGAGCGCATGTGGTAAGGAAATCACATCTCTCCAAAACATTGAGCTGAGTAATCGCCTTCTCGACACTTTGATCCCCCTCTATCCTCTCTCCCGCCTCCAGCTAATGCGTTACCACCCTCTCAGCGTCCATCTGCCTCACTTCCTCCATTATTTCGTTCTCCAATTCTACGTACCTTTGTCTCCGCCTCGCACAACTCGGTGGGTGCAGCCCATGCACGTAGCCGCCATTCCACATGTTAATTATGCCTCCTCCAACTCTCAAAGCACACAAACCACAGAGCTTGTTAATGCCAAACTCGAGATCAAAATGTTCGTCTGCGCTTAACTCGCCTTGTGACGCCGCCCTCGTGCCCTCTGCCTCATCCCTCATCATGCGATGCATCTCACAATGTGGACAATCTGACTGCTCCTCGTACATGTCACTGGAAATTTCCTCGTAGGTGGACTCCTCTCCAGCCTCCTCCCTCATGAGTGGACAAGTCACCACTTCTATCCGTTGGTCGTCGACAGGCGGTGCCACTGGAGGAGGCGATCCCACACAACACCTGCACATCCCACTGCAGTTCTCCCTCCATGTTCGCCTCTTCCAAATCCATACTTTATTGAGAAACAACTTTGCTCTCCTTCGCGCACGCACCAAAACCACTTTCACCGCCATCACTCAAATAATGTCTGATTTGGAGCATGTTGAAGCATTGATTTATGGATTTATTGACTGTGCACTTGAATTGTTGTTTAATTGGCTAATTGATTGATCTATTGGGCGGATGTCAATGCGATGTATGAATCACATCATCATCACCATCCCCAAGTGGCACTGAATGAAGCGCGCTGTCGTGGATATTTTTTACCCTCCATTTGTCCCATTTCCTTTTCCATAGACTTCGTGTTAAGTCGTCCTACTTCCACCACCACTTTCATCCCTCCTCTATCCAATTCGACTCACTTCTTTTAACCCTTC